GCTCTGTTTGCTCCATCTACACTGTGGACCTAGAGATCCGCTTTTCCAAACCCTTAGTGTTCTGTCTAGGACAAGTGTCTGAGCACACCCACATTATCAATGAGGTAAAGGGAGTCCTGGGTTCCTCCTTTTCCCCCAAATGCCCCTGCCATGGCACTTTCCACACTGTGGAAATAGCCGCGGTTTCCAGCCCATGCCCTGCCTCCCTCCCAGCCTTCCAGACCTTTGGAGTTTTCTCTGCCTTCTTCCCATCTCCCTCTCCTTTCTGCTCCGTGTGCCCCACCTCATCCCCGTATTAAAACTGTGATAATGCTTGTCTGTTTCTTTTATTCCTCCCTCCCTCCCTCCCTTCCTTCCTCTCTCTCTCTCTTTCTCTCTCTCTCTCTCTTTCTCTTTCGAGATAGGGTCTCACTCTGTCACCCAGGCTACAGTGAGGTGGCACAATTTCTGCTCACTGCAACCTCCACCTCCCAGGTTCAAGTGATCCTCCCTCCACAGCTGGGATTACAGACAGTGAGCCACCGTGCCCAGACCTTTGTTTCTTTCAACTCTGTTCACAGAGTTGCATTTGAAGGTGTTCAGTAAATCCAGAATCAGTGAATGAATGCATGAAAGGAACCTCAAACACTTGGGGGAAGAGTTGTTTTTTCCAAAGTCCTAAGCCATCACAGCGGGAGAGGGCCAAGCACAGGGTGCAAAGTCCCAGCCAAGCACTCCTGGCTACCTTTACCCACCACCCTCCCCGCTACTGGAAGGGCCGCACTACGTGCCCGAGGACACCCAGACCCCCCGCCCCTGGCAGCCCTGCCCCTCCTTTATCTCCTGTCCCTCTATCCAGGGACAGGCCTTTCCAAGTCCAGGACCCAGCTCCAGCCCAACCTGGATCTCGCCACGCCGGCGCGCTGGGAGGGGAAACCAGGTGGTCAGAAGCTTCCACGTGGGGGCGCTGGAGGGGCGCGGGAACGACTGAAGCAGACCTCCCCCAACCCTTCGTACTTGGTCGGTGAAGGAACCCAGATCCTCAACCTGCAGCTGCCCCTGTCCCCAGGGTCCCCACCAGGCAGTCATGACCCCCCACCGAGCCCTCTCCCTTCCGCCTTGCCTCCTGGCCCCCGCCAAGCCCCACTCCTTCGTGTTCGCTCCTCAGTAAAGATGAAGGAGCCCGCGAGTGGCAGATAGGTGTAGGTTCGAATCCCGCCTCTGCCCCTTAGTGGTTGGCGGCCTTCTCCCAGCTCCAGCCTGTAAAATGGGCTCATCACGCACCGACTTTAGCTGGAGGAGGCGTTCAGGAAACGTCAGCTTCCTGCCCGCATCCGCCCTCATCTCGCATTTCCCTCTTCTCTGTTCTCCCTCTGCTTTTTTTCCCCCCCTTTGGTTTTGTTTTAAATCCCTCCCTCCTGCGCCCTTTCTCTTCTCGGCTCCGCAATCTTAGCCAAACCGCAGCGTTTAGCAATCCTGCGCCCACCCGGCGCCCGGGGAGCCTCGCCGCGGCTGCGACCCGCCCCCGGCCCAGCTCCCGCGGGGCGCCACCGCCGCGACGTACCCCGCCACGGGTCGCACGCTGCCACCAGACCGGCTCACCTGGGGGTCGCACCCCGACTTGCGCTCGGCCCTGCCCCAGCCCACCCCAGATCGGCCGGGTCCCTCCTCTGGCGGCAGCGCTGCAGCCCACCCGCCGCCGGGGCCGCGGGGACCGGGAGGAGCTGGACGCACCGGCCAGGGCCGTGCCCGGGTGGCCGAGGGCACCGGGCGGGGCGGCGGGCTCGGCCGCCAGGACTGCCAGCGCCAGCCTGACCGCAGCCCAAGGGCGACGCTGCAAATAGTCGCGGTTTCCAGCCTGTGCCCTGCCTCCCTCCCAGCCTTCCGGACCTTTTGGGTTTTCTCTGCTTTTTTCCCGTCGCCCTCTCCTTTCTGCCCCGTGCCCCCCGCCTCGTCTCTGCTGTGCGCCCACCACATCCTGCCTCATGCAGGACGGCTCCGGCGCTGGTGAGGTCGGGATCACGCAGGATGGCTCTGGCGCTGGTTGAGGTCGGGAGCCGGAGAGGGGGCCAGGAGACCAGCGCTCCTTCGAAGGAATAAAATCATCATCATCGTCATCACCACCACCACAGCAATTAAGTTAGGGTTAACTGCGCGTGTGCTGTGTGCCAGGGACTCTGCTGAACGTTTTACCGGCAGGAATTCATGAAATCTTTACTACACACTACAAGGACCAGCTTCAATTTGCAAATGGAGAAACTGAGGCTCAGACACTCAGTAGAGACTAAGGTCATCCCATCTGCATCGGGAGAATGGAAGGCCATCTCCCCTGTCCAGAGGCCCAGGCTGTGATTCTGCCTGAAGCCCTGTGGGTAAGGCCCCACTGGAAGGTGGGAAGGAGCTGGCTGGGGGGTCCAAGTTAGTTTGCCAATGAATTCTCAGTGTATCCTACAGCAAGCCCGGTCTGCCTCAGTTTCCACACCTGTGAAACCAAGGGGACGAAAAGCAACATTTTGTTTCCTCTAAGGAAGAACCTGTTAATGACAATGGAAAACCCCAAATGGAGTGTGAGGCTTTAGGCGTCCTGCACCTGGGGGTGTTCAGGGAGAGGCTGGGGGACTGCCTCCCTACAGAGTTGAGAGCAACCCACAAGCCAGGACTGGCTGCGTGGGAATTAGGTTAAGCTGGGGAAGCTGCATTTAGCAAATTCGGGGATTCTGAAGCCTTCCAGTTTAGAACCCACCAAAAAGATTCCTGAAAGTGGGTTGGAGTAGAGGGGGAGTCCTCCCTCAAACACTCCATACTTACTCTTATTCATCTCTCACTTGGCTGGCCTGGATTCAGGGTGAGTGCAGGTTTATTAAGGACCTACTGTATGCCAAGCACACATCTATCACAGCCCTACTCTCAGAGAGCTGGTGGCATAGTCAACAACCACATAGCTGACTAGCAGAGATGCCCTCAGCCCAGCTGTCCCTTTTGGGAGAACTGGAGCCAAGCTGCTGCTTCCAGGGGTGAACACCCTGAGCAGCGCCAGAGCCATCAGTGAGCAGAGCTGGGGTTGCCTTCACCTCCACTGGCCCCCTCCGCAGCCAGCCTTGTGCAGGACACAACCTGCACAACCTCGCACAGCGGCCTGTGGGAAGCCATAGAGATCCAAGTGGGAGATGTTGGCAAAAGGAGCCAATTAGTTCTTGCTGGAGACAGGAATAGAGAGAGAAGAATTCTATGTAAGAGGTGAATATTAAGCTGGATGTTTAAGAATAAATGGGAGTTCACCAGGGGGAAAGGGAGGTCCAGTAGAGGCAACAGCCTGTCCTGGGACAGGGGTAGTGGTTCACTGGGAAGGAGGACGTGCCTTTCCCTTGCTCCCACCGCTATGCTGGCACATGTCAAACCAAACGTAGCTTATCTGCCAACCAGAGGTCTCCGTGCCTGAACTGTGAGATGCTATAGGATCAGTGTCTTACTCATCTTCTACAGCCCACCGCCTCACCCAATGCCGATAACAGTAACAGTAATAATGGTCAAGCCGGGTGCTCATGCCTGTAATCCCAGCACTTTGGGAGGCCAAGGCAGGCAGATCACTTGAGGTCGTGAGTTCAAGACCAGTCTGACCAATATGATGAAACCCTGTCTCTACTAAAATACAAAAATTAACCGGGCGTGGTGGCGGGGCCTGTAATCCCAGCTACTCAGGGGCTGAGGCAGGAGGACTGCTTGAACCCAGGAGGCAGAGGCTGCAGTGAGCCGAGATCGCACCACTCCACTCCAGTCTGGGCAACAGAGCCACACTCCATCTCAAAAAAAAAAAAAAAAAAAAAAAGGCAGCTGACATTGTCTTCTCCGCATAGCTGTTACAGAGGTCTCCAGAGCCTCCTCTCTCCTGTGCAAAATGGCAGCTCTTAAGGAAAAACTCACTGCACCAGTTACGGAAGAAGAGGCAACAGTCCCAAACAATAAGATCACTGTAGTGGGTGCTGGACAAGCTGGTATGGCGTGTGCTATCAGCATTCTGGGAAAGTCTCTGGCTGATGAACTTGCTCTTGTGGATGTTTTGGAAGATAAGCTTAAAGGAGAAATAATGGATCTGCAGCATGGGAGCTTATTTCTTCAGACGCTAAAATTGTGGCAGATAAAGATTATTCTGTGACTGCCAATTCTAAGACTGTAGTGGTAACTGCAGGAGTCCGTCAGCAAGAAGGGGAGACTCGGCTCAATCTGGTGCAGAGAAATGTTAATGTCTTCAAATTTATTATTCCTCAGATCATCAAGTACAGTCCTGATTGCATCATAATTGTGGTTTCCAACCCAGTGGACATTCTTACATATGTTACCTGGAAACTAAGTGGATTACCCAAACACTGCGTGATTGGAAGTGGATGTAATCTGGATTCTGCTAGATTTCGCTACCTTGTGGCTGAAAAACTTGGCATTCATCCCAGCAGCTGCCATGGATGGATTTTGGGGGAACATGGCGACTCAAGTGTGGCTGTGTGGAGTGGCCTGAATGTGGCAGGTGTTTCTCTCCAGGAATTGAATCCAGAAATGGGGACTGACATTGATAGTGAAAATTGGAAGGAAGTGCATAAGATGGTGGTTGAAAGTGCCTATGAAGTCATCAAGCTAAAAGGATATACCAACTGGGCTACTGGATTAAGTGTGGCTGATCTTATTGAATCCATGTTGAAAAATCTATCCAGGATTCATCCCGTGTCAACAATGGTAAAGGGGATGTATGGCATCGAGAATGAAGTCTTCCTGAGCCTTCCGTGTATCCTCAATGCCCGAGGATTAACCAGCGTTATCAACCAGAAGCTAAAGGATGATGAAGTTGCTCAGCTCAAGAAAAGTGCAGATACCCTGTGGGACATCAAGAAGGACCAAAAAGACCTGTGACTACTGGGCTCTAGGCTGTAGAAATTTAAAAACTACAATGTTATTAACTCTGAGCCTTTAGTTTTCATCCGTGTACATGGATCGCAGTTTGCTTTGATCTTCTTCAATATGTGAATTTGGGCCCACAGAATCAAAGCCTATGCTTGGTTTAATGCTTGCAGTATGAGCTCTTGAACAAATAAAATTAACTATTGTAGTGTGAAAAAAAAAAAAAAGGTCAGCAGGTGGTAAATATTGACCATCACGCATTGTGCTAAGTGCTCCAGGGCATTCTCTCATTTCATCCTCAAACTTTGGAAACAAGTGCTATTATTAATCCTGTTTTACAGACAAGGATTCTCGAGAAGAGTTAAGTAATGTGCCTAAGGTCACACAGCTATTTGGAATCCAGGCCTCTGTGACCACAGAGCCCTTGTTCTAGACCAATGAGTGGATAGATGGATGAATGGATCTGGGTGGACAGGCGAGAGGGAAGAACTAAATGAAGGACCATGAACTCCACGCTAGGGAGCTTGAGTTCACTCGAGGGCAGTGGGGAGACACTGGAAGGTGGTGAGCAGGAGAGGCAAGTCAGTTTAGGGATTTAGAGAGATCACTTTGACAACAGGGGAAAGATCATTTAGAGCCAATGACGCTTGAAACCTGCGGCCATTTTTCTGGCAAATCCCAATTCCCATTTGTGAGGAGCCTCATTTCTTTAAGCACTGTTATTTCTCTTAGAGCAAGACATGTGTTCTTATGCACACACAGGGACTATTGATGGAGGAGAGTGCTGGAGAGGAGGGGGCTCAAAGACAGGAAGGGACAGAAAGGGGACACTGCTAATTTCCAGGGAGAGGCTTCTCTGCACAGGGGAGCAGAGCACTAGGAAGAGAGAAGGCATATGGCCCCCTCCCTTTATTCCTAAGATGAGAAGTTCCCCTCAGGGTTTCCAGCCTGGAAGCTGCAAGCTCCAGGTCCCACACACTGCCCCACTGTGCACCTGCCACCAGGGAAACAGCCATAGGCGAGGCAGGTGTTGCATCAGAATGTTAAGCCCTGGAATCAAATGTTAGGGGGTGGCAGTGAAGAGGTCTGATCCCTCCTCCTGAGCAGCTCCTTAATATCATTGGCCTGTCCAGCCAGGGAGGGAGGGGAGTCACAGAAACTGGCCTGGGGGTCAGTTAAGCTGAAGGAAAGAAGCAGGAACAGCTGGAAGGACCAGAAAACAGGGGAAGTTTCCCCTATCTACACTCAAGGAGCCAAAGAGCGAACCAAAGCCTGCAAGAGGCTTCTTCAGGCTGAGAGGGACTCCCAGAGCGTTCCGGGACAGTGCAGGCTCACCATGCTGCCTTGCCTCGCCCTGCTTCTCCTGATGGAGCTGTCCGTGTGCACTGTGGCAGGTGATGGTGAAGTGGAACTCAGCCCCAAAGCAGAGACCTGGATAACTGTGGCCTTGGAGGTACCTTTGGGAAGAGGCTCTGACCAGGGCAGGGGATAATCGGCAGCAGAGAGGCAGATCCCCTGCATGGCTGCTGGGAGGGCAGGTAGCCTGCAAGGCAGGTTGTCTCTCTACCATGGGTAGATTCAAGGCTATGAGCCCTGGCCTGGCAGACCTCCGAAGCATGTGTGTGTGTGTGTACGTGTAAGAAACTGGCACTGTCTGAAATGCTTTATATTAACTCAATCCTCCCATCAACCTCATGGGGAAGGTATCGATACACGACCACCCCCACTTCACAGATAAGGAAACTGAGGCACAGAGAAGTCAAGTATTTTGTCCAAGGTTGCACAGCTTCAAAAGCACAACTACACACTTTGCCCAAGGTCTGATTCTGTGTATCTGTGCATCTGAGGAGCTTTTCCAGAATTTTCTTTCAAGGGCATCAACTTAAACAGGACCACTATTTGGTCTCACATGTAGAAATGACCCCGCATCTGCCCCCAACTCCTACCTGACAATCTGATTGGGGAGACAAAGATTCTGACCTCAGGGGTTCCCTAATCAGACAAGAAACAGGGACCAACAAGCCAGAGACAAAGATGGGTTAATAAGAGGCCAGCGCTCAGGGAAGACTTCCGGGGGGCAGACAGGACAGAGCTGGGCCTGGCTCCTCCCATTCCCAGGATGGTAAGGACGCTGGGGTAGCCTTGGCTTGTGGTCCTGGACTATGGTGAGGTCCTTGGAAGCGCGTAGAAATGGGGCCACAGGAAGAGCCACCGCATGGACAGTCCTGCATGGTGGGTTTCCTTTCTGGTTTGTCTGAATCTGGAAGTGTGTGCAGTGAGAAGGCAGCAGGGCTAGGAGTGTCTCCACTGACGCCTGCTGCTTTCCAGACATCAGTTTCCTCACCTGCAAAACGGAGGAGGGAAGTGACCCCCCAAAGCTTTTCTCCAGCTTTGTCATGCTTTATAGAGTCAGTGCCAAACATCGGGGTACCTGGTCTAGAGACAGAAGCCTTGCTGGGTGATGTTGCCTCATCTATGCAGCCCCATGAGAAACATTAAAAACTTCAACTAGCGCTGCTTGACCGTCTCCCAAAAGCACCTCATCCTGCAGCTGGATCTAATCCTTATTCTCCTTTCACTCTCCTTTAATATCACATCCCTCTGCTTCCCAAAATACAGGACTTGGAATATGGGAGGAGAGACTGGGTTAGAAGTCAGGAAGAACTTACAAACACTGTGGGATGCTAAGCATAATTTAAGTGACGGCTGGCTGTGGAGTCTCATGCCTGTAATCCCAGCACTTTGGGAGGCTGAGGCAGGAGGACTGCTGGAGGCCAGGAGTTCAAGATCAGCCTGGGCAACACAGAAAGACCCCATCTCTACAAAACATAAACAAAATTGGCCAGGCACGGTGATGCACGTCTGTGGCCCCAGCTACTCAAAAGACTGAGGATCACTGGAGCCCAGGAAGTTGAGGCTGCAGTGAGTCGTGCTTGTGCCTCTCCACTCCAACCTGGGCAACAGAGCAAGACCCTGCCTCAAAAAAAAAAAAAAAAAGGGTGACAAGAATGGGGCACGATCGCATCACTTACCTCCCTTGCTCTCGGGGCTCCCCCAACCTGTAATCATCCCTGGAGTTGGGGATTTGGGTTAAATGGATATGGAGGGCTCTGGGTGGGGGTAGGAGTCCTTTCAGAGTGAATGGGAACCAATGTCTCCGAATGCTCCCCACCAGGCACAGAAACCCAGTGGGGGAGAAAGGTCAGTCCTATGGAATTCATAAGTGACCATTCTCTCCAGCTTGCACCTGAAGGCTGCCTCTTACCAAGGCAAAGTGGTTTTCAGAAATGGGTCCAAATCTCCAAAGAGACTTTTCCAGTTATTGGCCAGGCTGGGCAACTCCAGCTCAAGATAGCTGCCCCAGCCACTGATGTCATGGTGGGATGTGAGGGAAGCAGATGGGAAGTGAGTGAATTAGTCCAAGGCTTAGAAAACAATCCGTTCCTGATCCTGAAAGGTACGACAACACAAGTTGTGAGAGGCAAGTGGGTTTATATTGTCCCTAGCCAGGTCCCTGCTGGTTCCAGGAGCTCCAGCGCTACCCCTAGGGAAACTGGGGATGGAAGAAAGAGCCTCTGATGCAAGCCCAGCTCCCAGCGTCCTGGCAGACAGCTTGTGTTACTCTAGGGCTCTGTTTGTCTATCTTTAGCTTTCCTGGAAAAGGGGACTCCAGCCTCTTCCCTATTCCCAGACTCTCAGAGAAAGGACTCCTCATTCAGCATTCTGTGTCCCACGTGTGCTGGGATCCTATGTGTGCCAGGCTCAGTGCCAGGAACTGGGGATACAGACATGTGAAGACAGTCTAATGAATGTAACCCACTGTCACTCTCTCAACTAGGAAGCAACTCTCCCTTTCAGCAGAACTGAGCAAGCCCCAGTTCAGAAGTTCAGGTTAAGGTCAGAGAGGGAGAAGGCTTTGGCCAAGGTCACAGAAGCTAATGGAAGAATGAGAATGTCAATCCACAGTTCTTGGTTCAGGACGCCCGCCCCATCAGCTCAAGGATTAAAATGTCTTTGCCCAGCGTAACAGCCTCCACCCCCAGACCACATGCCATTTCCTTCCAGGAGGCCCAGGCTCTAAGGCAAGGGAAATCTGGGGCAATGGGGGAAGTGCCTGGGGAAGAGAGGTAAGTGGGTGTTAGAGTGGGGATAAGGAGGGAAGCAGTCCTGCCTTGCCTCCTGGGGACCCATCATAAGTTCACTGGCTGCCCTCTCCTCATCTATGCTGGAGACACTTCCCAAGATAGAGCAGAACCAGTACTGTGAAGTGAGACTTTGAATCTTGGCTCGGCCTCTTTCTGTGTGACCTTGGACAAGTCACTTAACCTCCTTACATCTCAGTTTCTCCATATGTAAAATGCAGAAGACCTCTGATCCAGCCAAGGAGAAAAAAGGTAAGTATTGCCCAAACCTGCCCTCAACATGCCCCTGGGGAGGGTTGAGTTGTCCTCAGCACAAACAAACCAGGTGGGTGAGGGGAGATGCTCTGGCCAGAGGCAGGCCAGGCTGGCATTGCTGTGCAGAGGTGGGGCCAGTATGGTTTGTCCATGCTAGGCTTTCTGGTTGTTTCCTAGAGGGGTGGTCCTAAGGAGTGGCTGCAGGGATAGGAACAGACAATGATGGATCTAGTTCTACCAAAATAATTTCAAAATTACTTTAGGTCTAAAGCCTGGAATTAGAGGGGGAAAAAAAAAAAGTCAACCACTAGAGATAAGAAGTGCTTAAATCTTCAAACCCTGGCACCCAGATGATCTTAAAAGTGTGTATCTGGGCCAGGCAGTGGCTCACGCCTGTAATTACAGCACTTTGGGAGGCCAAGGCAGCCAGATCACTTGAGGTCAGGAGTTCGAGATCAGCCTGGCCAACATAGTGACTAAAAATACAAAATACAACTAAAAATGCAAACATTAGCCCGGTGTAGTGGCAGGTGCCTGTGGTCCCAGCTACTTCGGAAGCTGAGGCTGGAGAATCACTTGAACCCAGGAGGCAGAAGTTGCAGTGAGTCGAGTCCAGCCCGGGTGACAGAGGAAGACTGTCTCAAAAAAAAAAAAAAGTACAAATCTGAGAAGCCACTACTCTGCTTAAATCTTTCAGCGAAAAGGGAAAAACAAAATCAAAAGAAAATAAACCAACCGGCCGGGTGGGTGTGGTGGCTCACACCTGTAATCCCAGCATTTTGGGAGGCTGAGGCAGGTGAATCACCTGAGGTCAGGAGTTCGAGACCAGCCTGGCCAACGTGGTGAAACCCTGTCTCTACGAAAAATATAAAAATTAGCTGGGCATGGTGGCGGGTGCCTGTAATCCCAGCTACTCGGGAGGCTAAGACAGGAGAATTGCTTGAACCCAGGAGGCGGAGGTTGCAGTTAGCCGAGATCTTGCCACTGCATTCCAGCCTGGGCAGCAAGAGCGAGACTCTGTCTCAAAAAACAAAAAAAAAGAAAAGAAACCAACTTGTACCCTCCACTCCCTCAGTGCTCTCAGGACCAAGTCCAGTCCCCTAACACGACTCACTGCATCCTTCAGGCCTGCCTCACTGACCTGACTCCCAGCCCCATCCTAACCAGCTCTCCTTCCCTGACCGCCTGCCCTACACAGACAGAGCTTGTCGCCATTGCCTGGTGTGACCCTGTTCCTGGCATACTGCATTACACTGTCTTGCTGGGTCACATGGCTGGCTGGTGTCCCCAGACTGGAGGTCCCCCAACAGGCAGGCATCAGGTCTGCTGTCGCCTCTGTATCTCCAGTTCCCAGCAGTTTCTGCCTGTTAGAAGCACCACTAGATGTCTGTGAAGGGAGAGCAGAGGGAGAATGAAGGAGCGGGAGGAAGGAATCAGTGAATGAACCAGTGAATAAATCAATCAGTCCATGGTGTTTCCTCACCTCTCGGGATGCCGGAGAAATGATTGCATCTGCAAGGCCCCAGCCCTGGCCCTGGCCCTGCCATTACCTGGTTCCCAAGACAGTCCACCTCTGCTGCCTCTCTTTTCTCTACCACTTCTCTCTCCCACCGCCAGCGTATCAGGTGGAACACATGTTCCAGGGCCTCCTGGGCAAGAAAAGTCTGTCCACAGAAGGTAGACGAGGGCTGCTGGTGGTTGCAAGGGCATCATGGGAAAATGGCCATACACTTTGCTGCCAGTCTCCAAGGTGGGGGTTGGGCAGCTAGACAGACAGGCTCCCCACAAGCCATCATGGGGAGGCCCCCAGGGGAGGCAGTCGAGTGCAAGGAGGTGGTCTTTTTGATGATCCAAGACTGAAATCGCTTTGGCCCAGAAGCTGCACCCTCCCCACCCATGACACACCCAGGCACACTCTGCCCTGCCCCCACCCCTGCCCCTCAGGACCAGCTGAAACCATGGGGACTGAAGCCTAGTTTTCCAGACCTTGGAACATCCCCTATTCGCTCACTGTTTGCAAAGCTCTAATCACTGATCGTTATACTAATCATTGATCATTAGAGGGTCACGCCTTTAGTCTTCAGAGATTTTCTGCCTTCAACAACTGTAAGTAAGTGCAGATCACTCTGGGAGGAATAACACCATAAGCAGTTATCAGCTCACACCTTCTAGCAGAGGCCACAGCCCCAAATGGTTCCAGGGGACCAGACATGAAAGTAGGTAAATCAATCAGGTTGGGGAAAGGTCATGGCTCAAGTGAGTGGGCACAAGAGGACAGGCAGTGGGCGCCCCAGCAGGTCACAGATATTGAGCTCCCGTCTGCCTTCCCTAGTGCCTAACCTCTTCCACTGGAGCTGCAGACTTCTGGACCCCTCCCCTCCCTAGCACCCCTGGTAGAACACCTGCTCGACTCATTCCATTCAAGAGCCGTGGAAGTCACCTCGATAACAAATAGAGATGAACGTTCCTCCATGCATGGTGTGGGCAGGAATATTAGGAGTCAGTCATCATTTTTCAGAGATGGGAAGCTACTGGCCCAAAGTCACACAGTGAGCTGATAACAGAGCCAGGACTAAACTGTGTCTCCTGCTTCCTAGTTCATGTCAGCTGCCATGTTCCCAGGACTCTTGGATAGCCTTCCCCACCTTTAAAGAGGATAACTGAGGGTGGGCTCCATCCATGCTCTGGAGGCATTAGCAACTGAATAATGGAAGATATGACAGATGAGCCTGCAATTCCATTGCCCTAGATATCTCCAGACAGGAGAGAGGGGTTAGGAAGATGAAGGCCTTCAATGTGACTAGGGAAGACTTCCAAGGGTGGAGGAGCCAGACAAGACCCCCCCACTAACCATGGTTCATACACCAAACTCTCCCCAGGCAGAGAGGATGAGGCCCAAGGTTCAGAGTAAAAGCCCCCACCGCAGACTTCCCAGAGGACGTGGTGCTGCTTCTTCCTACCTGGATGTCACAGCTGACAAGCCGGCAGGCCAACTCTCTTCTCTGTGTCTCCTGTCCTCATCGCTGGCACTTCACACAAGGCCCACACTGAACCCACTGGGTTTCTTCCTGGACTCTCGGTGTCAGGCAGCAGTCCTGCATAAATGCAGTCTTCGCCGTTGCAAGCTGCATTGACTCTGCCCTCCCTCACACTCAGAGCTGGCATCTCACTGCACAGCAGTGAGGAGACTCGCACACTCTGTAGCCTGTGCTTAGCACACAGTAGGCACTCAATAAATGAGTGACCAGTGAACGGCTCCTTCTCTGGTGCAGAGCAAAGGGCAGGAATGGCCTGGGCTCTGTAGACTTTTCAGTGGCCTCACTGATATGTCAAGAGGCCAAGAGCCCTTTCACAGAATCGCAGAGAAATACCGAAC